CCCTTCATTCTGGCTTCTTTTCCCATTAAAGCACCTGCTTCTTCTAACAATGCCTTATTAAAGGTTGAAGCCATGGCTGTTCCGCAAGGGAACGAAGATGATGGAACACCGTTAAAAAATTTGGTACCCCTAATCCCATTTGGACCGTCTGAGGTTCTAATAGAAGGAATACCCAATCTTTTCACGGGAACCGTATGCCAGAAATCAACCCCTGCTAAAAGAGAGATCTTTTCTGATAATGTTAATTCTTGAATCAACTGTTCAATATCTAACTCTGTGGTAGCGTCTATGTCTCTAGTCATGTTAAACTAATGGTTTACAGGCGAATACCATTTTACTAAACTAGCCGCAGAGCTGCCAATTTATATTACAAGTCGATTAATAAATATTTTAGCTAAGTGGGGGTTCAATAACTGAATACATATCTATACCGTGCTGAAGTGGTACTGTGGGGATGGTACAATACTGGTAGGGCCCTCATTAAGGTTCCATTTCCTATTCAGTGGTATTCCCCTTTTAAGTTCTACATTACGAGGACTTGATTTTTATCTCGGCTATATTTCCTATTTAAGAAAGTCAGATTTTCCGAAAGAAGTCTTGTGGGGCAAATACACGGACCATTCTACGCCATAAATGCAATAACGTGTTTATAGTTGTTGGGGAGAAGACTCCCATGATCCTTGTTACTCACTGATGGGTAAAGGAAGTATAATATATATTTTAGCTTTGTGAGAAATATAATGCTACATATTTGAAGACATGGTACTAGACAAAACTTATCGTATACTATTAGCTCTCTAAAAGAGCCATTCAACTCAACATTCTTGAGGGTAAACAAGACCTCCTTGCCGTCTGATTTCATCTAGAGTTTGGAGTACCAATAAACTCTCATCCAACGGAAGAAGATCATTTTGTATTTTGCCCTTTGAAATATCTTCGGCTACAGCGTCTGCCTCATATTGAAAGCCAAGTCCATGCTCACCCTGAGATGGAAATTCTTTCTCGATAGACTTTGTTTCTTTATTCTTAAACGTAATTTTATATTTACTTGGCATCGATCCACCAATTCCTCCTACTTCGATGGTCCCAAGCTCTCCGTCGATCTTGAGGAAATTCTCCGGCGAATTGTTATACATACTCGAAGTAATAATCGCTTGTTTTCCATCTTCGTATTTGATTATTGCACTCGACATGTTATCAATGCCATTCCTGAGGGATTGTAATCCAACAACGTCAAATTTCTTATGATGAACACCTAATCCTTCATCAAGAAATAATCTAGCGTAGGTCAAAGGATAAATTCCAATATCTAAAAGAGAACCAGCACCAAGACTAGCGTTCTTCAATCTGGAATTATCAGGTAAGTCATTTAACTTTTTATCAATTCCAAAATCCGCAAACATTCTATAAACATCACCAATTACTTTATCTTTCATAATCAACTCTTGTAGTTCCAATATAATAGGCTTAAATCTCACCCAAACAGCCTCCATCAAGAATACATTCTTCGATTTGGCCGCTTTGATTAGCACTTCAAAATCTTTAGCATTGATTGTAGCTGGTTTTTCTACTAGGACGTGTTTTCCATTCTCAATTGCTTTCAACGTCTGCTCTTTATGAAATACATGTGGTAATCCAATGTAAATGATGTCCACATCTTCTCTCACGTAAATTTCATCATATGATCCAACAAATGGCTTGGAACTTTGTAGTTTATCAAATTTGTTAACAAAATCAATACCTTTTGATTCACTTGAAGACCCAATTGCATGGATTTCATGAATCGCCTTAGCTTCTTTCCTATCGAGTAAAATATCTCTTACAAACCAAGTGCTAATCAATCCGGTACCTATGATTCCCCATTTCAAGGTTGGTAACTCTTTGTTTAATCCCATTACAGCAGCTAATTTGGATATATTCCGAAATTTTAATTCTTAAAACTGCTGGAAATAAACTCCTTAAATATTTTGTGGAAATTTGAATAGTCCCTAGCTTACCCTAGGAGGGGTTGTCACGACTGAAAAGATCCACTAGTTCCAGATTAAGTGATGAATAAGCGCGCATCGACTTTTGATATTAGGCTGCGAAAGAAAAAATTGTGTTTAACTGAATATGGAGAACAACAACCAGGAACTCAATTCGTAAGTTAAATGGCCCAATTAGCAGCATCATTCTTGAACAGGGAAACACAAAAAGCGGCTCATAACCTATTGAAAGTAGTTTACACCATCATCACTTTCTTTATAGTAATTGAACATGATTTATTATAGTCTAGATTTCAGCTACATTATAATCAATTAAATCATGATAATTTCAATTACTAACAGTTCAGTCAGTTACAGTGACATACATTCAGTCAATGTCACGCAATTAATTTAGGACAAAGTCCAATCAGTTCAGTCGAAGTAAATCATTATTACTTTTGGAACGAGTCCTTGGTCCTGGCTAATAATGCCTAAAACTTGTATTGTTGAATATGATGCTTCTACATAAGTCGGTGAGAAGGATTTGACCAGTCTGATTTGTGGGCTGTTTTACCCTGTTTATGATCTTGTTTATGATCTTGTTGTGATCCTGTTTATGATCTTGTTTATGATCTTGTTTATGACCCTCTGTGTGATCTTGTTTGTGATTCTGTTTGTGCGTTCAATGTCATTCATTATTGAACCTGAATTAAGAGAGGATAATTAGCAAGTGCCATATGTCATATTTGATAATATCGCGAGGATGTGGTTCTAGTGATAGGTACTGATAATACATTGGTCGATATGAGCTGTAAGACTCTCCTCCTGTTGTCAGAGGAATGCTTATTATTATATGTCTGCTGTGAAAAACAAACTGACAACCAACTGAAAGTCCTGAATAATTTGATTCAGGCTCCTCGTATGTTGCTAGAGGATTTGGCTGTCTTTTATTTTGTCACATGCTTATATTATTTTTAGTGTAACGTTGAAATGGTATCGACAATAACTGAAATAATAATAATTAGTGCTTGAAACCGTAACTGCTTGTTAAACTGAAAACCAAATCATGGTGATTGATTGTTGAATTTAGAAGGACAATTAGGTACATTGCTTTTGAGAGCGTATTATGGTATACTAATGATTTACATGTGTATTGAATTACAAGTATAAAAGACAAGGAATTGATATGGATAGTGAAGTGAGTTTTCATTATTCGAATAATGTATGTCATATTTCGGGCAAGATGATTTGACTACGTTAATCCTGGAGTTAGATGTGTATTTGAAAAATTGTCTCTGCTGATTGAGAGTAGAGTGATTCGCCAGATGGAAATGCTCCAATTCTCTAGTGCTATACATGATCTACGAGAAATTGTCAATTGTGTACATGTATGCAATATGAGTCAATGAAAATGCCGAAGTTTCTCAGCTTCTTGTATATGGATTGAGAAAAGAAATTGTATTTGGAATACAACTATAATGTTGTTCCTTATTGAATTTGAATTAATGAGGATTGACAGTGAACAAGGCATATATTCGAAGCAATATAATTCTTGGCCTCTATGCTAATGATATCTTTATATCAAGCAAGGATATCAATGAAATTGATTATGTAAAGAAACTTCTTTTGCCGTTCATGGAAAAGAACAAATAATTTACAGTCGTACTTTCGATGAATGTATTAGAGTATTAAGACTCGAATTTGGCTTAAATTTGAATATTGACTGAGTCAATATTTTATATGTGACGTGTCTAAATATTAATTGAGTACTGACAATAGATAATGTCTAAATTGAGAAAAATCACTTTTGTTGAGGGTACAGAGTAAGTGTTCCAGGGGGCCTGTTTGAGAAGTGCCTGTGTGTGGTTCACGTTTGTGACAGTGTTGGATTGTTATGTGCTAACTAAGGTTTGTAAAGTTTACTGATAAAAATGACTAATATTAGGATTAAGGGAAGGTGTTGAAATATTCTGTTAGAGCATTATTGGAATTCTTAGTGTGCATTAATTTGAGGAGGATGCAAGCTGGTTGCGAAAGAAAATATTTCCGTTTATGGAAAATCCTAATATTCTACTATATAAGAAGGGTAATTTGCTGGATAATTATATACAATTTATATAGGGGTTAAGTAATAAATAGTATTGGGCTACGATGGTATTTAATTATTTTCATATTATTCTACTTTTAGTGACTTCAACAATTGCAGTGAACTGGACAGCAGATAATGACACTTCTAATATTGGTTTATTAGGGCAGGTAGTCAATAGAAGAAGTAATGGAACATTATCAGGTATAACAATAGTAGGTGATAATGTATATTATACACAGGATTACAGATATGCTATAAATAACGGTATATCAATAGATAATGTTCCAGTTTTGAGGAGTGATCAGTATAGAAATTTCGGTAACCAAGAACCACAAATTAGGTCAGCAGTAGCGCAATTTCTTAACGATAAGAATGCGAGGCTAGACGAACGGTCTGGGCCAAGTGATTTACACATAGACATATAAATGTGGCAGGTGGCAGTAGGACAGCCTAATATATCTGACAGGAATGCCGAATTCGAGTACTCTGATATGACTGTTAATGAAGTAAGGTGTAATAATATATTGGCAACGGGCGATAATGGTTTCAGTGTGTCAGATATGTCATCTGGCATGACGTGCACACTAGTAACATTCTGCGATCAAGGGTGTACCGGTAACTGGGATGATGAAACTACAGTGACAGGCAACACTGATGTTGTTAAATTATCCCATGCAGTCAGGAGTGTTGGAACTGTATGTAATATGAATGGGGAACCAGACTCAGGTAAGTTTAACAGAGATGAGTTCAACCCAGATTGCGAAGGTGATACCGGTATCTAAGCTAAGTAATTAAGTAAAGTAAAATAAAATAAAAAAAATAAATAAATAAACAATCCTCTGACAGAAAGAGGAGCCTGAATCAGCATATTCAGGACTTTCATTAGTTACAACATAAGCAAATATCTCTTCTGACAACAAGAGGAAATCAATATACTTGGCTCTTTTACCAGATTTCTTATTGGTTCTAGAAGATATCGTTTCACTGTCAGACGATACCTCTGATATTCGGGGCAGACTTTCGATCAATATAATTACTCTTCTTCTACCAATACATTCGAATCATAATCATAATCATAATCATAATAGGTACCAGTATCGTCAACGATATTTTCATGCTTAGTATATAAATTGAAAGTTTGCGCTATTTTAAATCTAGTTGAAGGGCCCAGTTTAAGAGAGGGACTCATATAGGTTCATTTAGTTAAAGGATTTGCAATTGCATAAAATTTAATTTCAACCAATTCGCCTTCCTTTGGAATGTGTTAACTTGTTAATTTGCGGGCCATAGGTACTACAATATATAAGAAAAATCGTGAAAAATTAACATAACTATAAGCATATCTTGTAATTCGTTTTACAACCCTAGCCAGTAAAATGTTTTTGTTGTTTTAAAACTTTCCTCGAGTAAAATGTTGTCCGAACTGTTACCTACTTGGACCGCATAGTCTCCCTTTTCGGAAC